TTCTGAAACATAAAAATGATGTTTTTCTAACCTTTAAATAATGGAAGGCTTTGATTGAGAAGCAAACAAGTAAACAGATTAAGCGGCTTCGAACAGATAATGACATGGAATTTTATGAATGTGACTTTGATGAATTCTGCAAAAATGAAGGAATTGTTCGGCATCGCACTATTAGGATGACGCCTCAGCAAAATGGTGTGGCCGAACATATGAACAGAACACTCTTGGAGAGAACAAGGAGTATGATCTCAAATGTAGAGTTGACAAAGGACTTTTGGGCAGAGGCGATTAATATGGCCTGTTACATTGTCAACCGCGCTCCTTCTGTAGTACTTAATTTTAAAACTCCGGAGGAAGTTTAGTCAGGTACTCCTACTGATTACTCTGATTTAAAAATTTTTGGGTGTCCAGCATACATGCATGTAAATGAAGGAAAATTAGATTATGGTGAAAATTAGCATACAACATACAGCATACTTGAGCTAAAAAGTGCATTTCCTTGGGTATGCTTCTGGGATGAAAGGATACAGATTATGGTGTTATGATCTCAAATCTCTAAAATTTATAATCAGTAGAGATGTTACTTTTGATGAATTGTTTATGTTATCTTCCAAAGAGGAATCTACTAGTTGTATATATGATAGTGCGTAGAAGCATGTGGAGCTTGAGATTGGTAGTTTTGATTCTTTTCAATCGAACTCTTCTACTCAAAGAATGCCAGTAGATGGTCCCGAGTCTACTGACGAAGATGATTCAGAAGAAGAACAATATTCCATAGCTAAGGATAGACCACAAAGAGATATTAGACCACCACAAAGATATGCAAATTTGGTTGCATATGTTTTGTCTGATGCAGAAGAAACAAGTGAAGTTGGTGAGCCTACTACCTACTCAGATGTAGTTTCTTGTGATAATTCCACTAAGTAGTTGATTGCGATGAATGAAGAAATTGAATCTCTCCATCAGAATAGAACTTGGGATCTTGTGAAGCCGCCTTCAGGTAAGAAAATTGTTGGATGCAAATGGGTCTTCAAAAGGAATGAATGTATTCTAGGGACTTCATATGCTTATTTGGAGTTTGGGAAAAATCATGATACTTTGGTTGGTTTCGTCGACTCTGATTATGCTACGGATCTTGATAAACGAAGATCTTTGACAGGCTATGTTTTTTGCATTGACGATTGTGCAACTAGTTGGAAAGTTTCCTTACAACTTATCGTTGCTTTATCTACTACAGAGGCAGAATATATGACAATGACAGAGGCGATCAAAAAAGTTTTATAGTTAAGAGGTTTATTCGGCGAATTATGTCTGCATCAAGGTGTTCCTACAATTTACTATGATAGTCAAAGTGCTATTCATTTGACTAAAGACCAAATGTATCATGAGAGGACGAAACACATCGATGTGAAGTTTCATTTTATTCGTGATATCATTGCTAAGGGAAAGGTCCTTGTTTAGAAAATTTATATGAAGGACAATCCAGCCGATATGCTTACGAACCCTCTTCCAGTTTATAAGTTCAAGCAGTGCTTGGACTTGGTTGGTGTTCATTATTGGTGATTGCCCGTTGGGGATTTTGTGAAGAAGGTGGAGCAAGTTTTGTTAATTATCAATGTTGGAACATGCCAAGGTGGAGATTTGTTAGTTTGGCAAGTCCCACATAGTTCCACATCGGAAAAATTAAGCTTGTTATCTCATCTTGCAACTATAAATAAGGGTCTGGGCTTTGAAGCCATATGCACCATAAGAAAACCTAATTGTTTGCTTTAGACTTTTCTTGTTTAGTAGTTTCAAGTGTTTTATGGCATAGGAACATCTTCCTAAGGTATTTGTAATTGTCCCTTTTATAGTAATGATTTGCTCCTCCTTCATCCGTGGATGTAGGTCAATTGATCGAACCACGTAAATCTAGTGTTCTTATCTCTTTTATTCTTTTGTTTTATTGTCTTTATTGGGTTGCCAAATTACCCTTTGATAAATTTCTTGAGGTCAGCTCTAACAAATCAGGACGCCGACATGTAGTGTCGTGAGCTTCCTCACTACAACTGGTGGTCTAAAGCACTTCACGGCATCTCGAACTTCAGCGGGGGCTCCAGGTTTGGCAAGAATGTCCCCGGCACCACCAATTTCGATCCCGGCACCACCAGCTTCCTACTTCTGATCACGTCCCATCCCGCTCGAGTGAGAAAAGGGCGCCTCATCCCCATTGCCCAAGCAAAGCACCAAAGCCACATAATTCGACCCAATCACCGTGGATCGATTCCTAGGCGATCGCGCCCCAGAGACGGCCAAGATCGTCGTTGTTGGATGGGAGGAGCGGTTTAGAGAAGAAGAGGCAGAGGCGGCAGCGAGCAAAGCGATCGAGGACGCTCCGGCTTTCAGGCCATCATTGCTCTCTGCCATTGCTCCCTGAACTGCACCTATTGCAGTTCTTCTTCAACAACCCTCCTCCAAGAACGGACTCCTTGACTTCACCCTTGATCCGGCGTACACAGCATGTCTGCGGAGCTGCTGCCCACACGTTAGTGGTGAATAGAACCTCTTCCCCACACTCTCTTCTTCTTGCTCATTGCTGTAGATTCTCTATCACCACCACGCTGCCAGGGGCAACCACTACATTGCAACATCCTGCGAGGCGTGGCCTTTGACAAAGCTACACCGAGGTGAGTGCAGCTCCATTGCATCCTGCTCCACCTTCTACGGTGTACCCGAACTCCTTCGCGTCGACGAGCATCTAGAACCATTTCCACGCCACTTGCTGCCTATCACTGCATCGCTGCTAAGCAAAGTACAACAGTAATATTCGGCGACAAAGCACGCAACAATACTTTTCACGTTCTTCACCGCCTAGATTCCCAACTGTAGAACCGCTACACATAGATCTGCAACTTTATATAATATTGCATAGAGCTAAATGCTTTCTTCAACGAAGACCTCATTTACCAGCAACCCACCTCAGGCGATGATGATCTACACCAACACTTCTTCCTCCCTGATCACTGTAGTCACTGTAGACTTTCATTTTACTCCCTCCTATTGGTATATATATTCCATATTTATCTTATTATCAAAGATAAATATGTAGGATACAAAAAAGGTTGTAACTCCTCTCTACTAGTGAATCACTCAAATTATGTAATGACAGCCTTATTATAAACTCAACTCAATACTGACAAGTACTTGGCTCCTTACAGCACTTAGGCTCTCACTCATCCAGATATTTTCTTTGCGGTTAATAAATTATCTCAATATATACACAAGCCTTCTACTATGCATTGGTCTGCGGTTAAACAAATTTTACGGTATCTTAAAAGGATCCTCATGGCCTTTTTCTTCGCAAACACACCCCCACTTCATCTCTATACCTTTGCTGATGCTAATTGAGTAGGAAATTTTGATGATAGAACATCCACGTTAGGGCATATTGTCTTTCTTGGCTCTAATTCAATCAGTTGGAGTTCTGAGAAGCAAAAGATAGTTGCATGGTCTATAACTAAAGTTGAATATCGTACCATCGCTACCGCTTCTACTGAACTCAATTATGTTACAAATCTCCTCAAGGAACTCAACGTCAACTCTACCCTCACTCATACAATATATTGTGGCAATGTTGGAGCTACCTACTTATGTGTCAATCTAGTGTTCCACTCATGCATAAAATACATTACCATCGACTTTCACTTCGTGTGAGATCAAGTTATTAGACATCAACTTTATGTCTCTCATATACATACGGCTGATCAACTAGTAGACTTACTCACGAAGCCTTTCACTCATAAATAGTTGCATCGGTCCAAGATCGACATCCTTACAGAAGCTCAATCTTATGGGGGCATGATAACAAAGAGATTTTCCAACTGCACAAGAAAATCTTACTACTTAGTTGAGAAAAATCTTTTCTTTCAATATGTATAAATAGACACCATATCACATGTTTTTTTTTTTTTTGCCTTTAACTCTTCGTTCTCTAACTTCATTTCGGAGGTGGGTGGTTCTTATATTTTTTTCTACTTCTATTATGAGAACAAGTTTTATAAGAAATCTTATTTGAAATATATTTTTTGTTGAGGTTTATGCCCGATCGAATACTCCTCCGGTAATAAATCAAAGCACAACCCAAGATTGACCACGTGTCGTGTTTTCATTGGCGTGGCTCGTGGGACTTGTTTCGTCTCCCACGTCAGTATATTAAACGTAAGGCGTCATTTAGAGATCCATGATGAGTTCAATTACTTCATTTTGTTTTAGCTATTCGATTTGATGTTGTGTGTCTAAATTTTGAAGCTGCTCGCAGACGCGCAATGTCGGTTGGTTATTCGCATTCGCCGGGGGATGAAGAATAAGAGTTTGGCGATCCTGATGAGAGCTCGAATGGCGTCCCCCACCCACCCCGTCCATCGGCAGCAGCTCCTCCACCCCGATCGCCCCCCTCTTCCACCTCAGGTGGTTGTGCGATTGACGCGAGTTCTCCTTTTATGAACTCTTTTTTTTGATCTTCCTTCTTGAAACCTTCTTTCATTCGCGTTCCTGAAGCCTATCCCGATCTGTGGTTTCCAGGGCGCCACCTGCTCTGGCGACGCTGATGACGATGGCAGCAGCACCGGCGCACGGAGGTCCTCTTCATCCCGCCCTCCTGACTCGGTTCTTTGTTCTTTTAGCGTTCTCGCTCGGTATCTCGGGTTCATTACCAGTCTTTCTTTTCCTTTTTAGGGTTTCTTTGAAGGATGTCAAAGAATTGATGCGGGCGTCCTTCTCGATCCCCACCGACAAAACCGAGCCGATGGACGCCAATCTTGAAGAATTCTCGCAGGTCAGACTATGATCTCTTCTTGATGTCAATTTAAGCCTTGAAGCGTCATCTGAATATCGTGGCTGGTTCTTGTAGGCTTATTTGGGCCTATCTCAGGAAGGGCGCAGGGAACTGCTTCTGGGCCTTGCCAGGGATTATGATGTCAACAGAGCTCGAGTTTGTGAGCTCATGCGGCAGTATCTTAGTGTCGAGCTTCCTCATAGTATTGATTCCAATGGTGTGCTCTGTTTCCTCCACATTTTTTTGGTTCTTTAAAATTTTTGATTCCCTTATGGAGGATCTTTGTGAAATATTGTCTCTCTGTTTAATCAGCCGCCGATGTGAATCAAGAGAATCGTGTGCTTGAAGATGGGGGTATTCTTGCTGTGTTTTATAGGATGGAGCGGAATCTTCGGGATGCTCTCAAGCCTATGTATGCTGGTTTCTTTGAACGACTGAACGCACATCCTGGTGGACTGAAGCTGTTGACCGTCCTTCGTGCTGATCTTCTCTCTCAGTTAGCGTAAGAATCATATCTGCTTTTGGTTTTGAATATATATGCAGGCAACTCGATCATGGCTAGTTTAATCAAATTTGATATGTAGTCATGCATATTGGCCTCACATTTCTTTGTGCCAATTGATCAACTCTTGAAGATTAAATCTCACTCCATATAACCTTGTTGTGATCTTATGGCGGCATCTTTTATCATGTGATGAATAATTGCTCATTAATGTTGTTGGGATACATGTCTTATGTGATTCAAAATTTTGTTGTTTTTGTAATTCTAGCTTTGATTGTTATTGCCTATATAATCTATAAGAGCAAAATATCTTGAAAGGGGAAACACAATTGTAATCGTACATAAGCTGACTAACTATCAAATTGTAAAAGCAAGAAAGAATTAGTTTTTCTGGTACCCCTATTGTCAGCTTTAGCAGTAAGGTTACTCTGTTGCAACCTGTGTAACTAGAATTCGATTCATGGAAATAAGGTAACACTCTGTATTTTTATAATCTCTAGACACATTGCAATGGAAGAAGCCTCAGACACTGGGTTCAGTCTTTTTTTAATCTTATTGCCAATTTACATTTGGCCATCATCATATACTGTTTTAACTCCACATCCTACATTGATTAGATAATTTTGAAAATCTATAGACTTCAAATAATGCCATATCAAGGTGGTACTTGTAACTTGTAACAAAATATAGGCCTCTCTGCTGCCATCTATCATACTGCTTGAAGCATGTTGCATAAAAGCCCTTGAGATATGACACTGGACAAATATCACAATCAATATCCTTTCGTGTAATACCATGTACCTTTTTCATAAGCAACCTATTATGAGGTGCAAATCCATAACAGAGTTTTTTAAGAAGTCAAAATAATCAATAACATACTATTACTGTATTGAAAGGCTATTTTTAAGCATTGAAGATATTTATTATAATGGAATAATGCTAGTAGCCTAGTTAATCACCATCTGCTATCAAAGGTCACATGAAACATTGCAATACAAGCCAAAATAGTGGTATGAAATACATAAAAAGTACACCGTGAATCCAACAAAAGGCCCATATTTCTGGAGGCTCTAAGAACTGAGACCATGACATAACTAAACTGGATTCTGATTTTAGTCATCCTTAATCCATTATATATAGTTTTTCACGTCAGTTTGAAGGCTCCTGCTTTTCTAGGTTACAAGCAGATTTTCTATACATGCCATAAAATAGTTTTAATTTGGAAAAACCAGACATCTTCATTATTTCATTCATTTATCGTTATTGTTGATTAGCACATATACCTTCTAATAGTCTGGAATTTTCAATTTAGACTAGCAGACAAATGATGGTACTTGCACATATACTTTAGATGCCTTTTCTACTTGTGCAAGGCAATTGGGGTTGGTTGTGTAATTTTTTTTCTTTTAGGCATAATAGCAGGGCTGCAATCTTATATTATTAAGAGGGGTTCATTTGTACGCATTACTCATATGCATGAGTGTTGAGAGGACTTACTGACTTTATCCACATCAAGGAGATCTTGCCTTCATCAGTTGCTAGCTCTATGGTTTTATAAAGGGGGATTTTCTGTGGTACATCTAAATCAAGATGCCTGTCCACTTTTAATATATAATTACAGATAATGATGATTTTGAATAGGTCTGTTGAATTTTGGTGGCTCCTTGAAGTGTGCCTATTAGAGTCATGTGCATAAAAGAGTGTTCATGCACAAGCACCACAACTGCCATTCACAATCAATAGAAGGGCTAGAATAGTTTGACTGCATGTATATTGATGGAGCCTTCTTTTTCATGTTGATCATTTTCTTTCTTTCAGCCAAGGTTTGTAATTTTATTTCCTGATTCTGTATCGGTCAGGACTCAGACCAGTATGACACTGGTCCATGGTAGAAATTTTGTGGCGTATTATAGATCCATTGTATTACAAAGACGGTAGTATTGCAAACCTTGATTTCAGAGCTACTCCACTTTTCTTTTCTTTCTAACTTTACTATTTTGCATATCATTGTACCAAGTTTCTCATCTGATGTTCTGATTGCAGTTGTTAAATTGTTCCTTGAATTCAATCTAGATCTTGTTCAGTTTCTTATTTGGTCTTCCATGAAATATATAGAAAATTATTCTGATCAGAACTTGAAATTCACCACCTTCGTTTGATTTGATATATGCAGTGATTGGCTGTTTTATGAATAATGTGAAAAATCCACAATAGTTGTTTGATCATGAGCATGATTGTTGTCTTTGTAGAACCTAAGTTTCAACATAATAGTTTTTACTTTTAAATAAATTTGTTTATGCTATCACGGTGTTGACAAGTTTTGAGTAAATAGCTGAATGACCTCCTCTTGAGGATCCTTTCCATTAAATAAGAGTTTCTGTACAATCTATTTTAGGTAAGAATATATACACAGCTAATACACTAATTATGATAGAATAAATCTCAGTCTCTGTCATTGATATAATACACTAATTATGGTAAAATAAATCTTGTAATCTTTGTCATAATTTCTGCCATAATCTCTGCCATTGATATCCCTCCTCAAATTGATGCTGGATGATAAAAAAGCATCAATTTGTCAATAAGAAAGTGATGTCAGTGTCGGGAGAGAGCCTTAGTAAACACATCATCGGTCTGGAGATCGGTGGTGATATGCAGAAGAGAGATGACGTGAGCATCATATGCTTCACGAATAGAGTGACAATCGACTTCAATGTGCTTGGTGTGCTCATGAAATACTGGGTTATTAATAATTTGAATAGCACTAGTATTGTCCGTATTGTCGCGGACAAACTTCTAAACCGGATGTTTGATGTAATGCTTATGTATGTCCGTGTCTTTTGGTATGTTCATGCTTTGTACAGCATGTAGAAGGACGACCGAAGGCTTAATAGTCCCATTTTAGTTAGGTTGGTGGCCGCTTTATGCTTGTAAATAAAGGTTGTGTCATGCGGACACGTGTGAGAGATTTTCGGTCTGTAATGGACCATTTTAACCCTTTGCTGTGCAACTGTTCAGAGCTTGTAAAGTCTGTTTGTAATTTGCATTATCTATGAAGTGTTTTCGGAGATGTTTGCTTGTGGATCCTGAATGAGGCGTTTTCTCTAACCCGTTCTCTCTTTTGTGGGTACTAAGGGATATGGGAGGCTTTGGGGAGGCTGACCTTTGCGGACGGACACGCAAGGGTGCCGCACGACTTAGGCAAAACCAGCTAAGTCCGTGACAGTATGGAGTGGAGTAGGCTCAATTTGAGGAAACCCAAGATCACCCAACAGTTCCCAAAGCCAAACAATTTCAGAACATGCAGAGAACATAGCGCGGTACTCAGACTTAGTGGAGGACTTAGATACCCAATCTTGCTTCTTGCTTTACTAAGAAACGAGAAAGGTACCAAGAAACATACACCAACCAGTAATTGAACGTCGAGTATCATAACAACCACCCCAATCAGCATCACTATATGCAACCAAATGAATAAGAGAGTCCACAGGGAAGAAAAGACCTTGGGTAGAAGTGCCTTGCAAATATCGAACAATGCGACAAACAGCGACCAGGTGGAGGTGCCTGCATAAATTGACTAACTTGTTGAACAACGAAGGAAATATCAAGTTGAGTAATAGTCAGATAGTTCAGGCTCCCCACCAGTTGTCTATATAAAGAGGGATCAGAGAGAAAATCACCCTCATCACGATGATATTTAATATTCACTTCTAAGGGGATATCAACAGAATGACCATCTTGAAGGCCAGCCAAAACAATTAACTTATGGCTGTATTTATGTTGGTGTAAGAAAATACCAACCGAGCTAGAATGCACCTCAAGGCCTAAAACATACTATAAAGGACCTAAGTCCTTCATATGAAAAGAACCCTGAAGATGCTCCTGAAGCTGAGAAATCAATTTAGAGTCAGTTCTTGTAATAACAATATCATCAATATATACCAGAAGTAAGACGATTTCCTTAGCAGTCTTGCAAAGAAATAAAGAGAAATCGTACTGACTGTGGACAAAGGAGAAGCTAATAAGCGTAGAGCCTGTTTTAAACCATAGAGTGATCGTTTTAGCTTACAAACATCAGAAGAGGGTGTAGAAAATAATCTTAATGGTGGAGTCATATAAATTTCTTCCTTAAGATCTCCGTGTAAAAAGACATTCTTAACATCCATCTATCGCAATGACCAGCTCTTAGAGGCAACAATAGCTAGAACAAGTCGCACCATCCTCATCTTTGCTATAGGTGCAAATGTCTCCTCATAATTTACCCCATACTCCTACCGATTATCGAGTGTCACTAACCTCGCTTTATATCTATCAAGTGATCCATCAGACCACAACTTAATGGAATATACCCATTTACAACTAATGGGCTTAACAACAGTAGGACAGGGAACAATATCCCAAGTATGATTCTCTTGAAGAGTCTAAAGTTCTTCTTGCATGGCTTTCACCAAACATGCATGTTTACTTGCCTAAGAATAAGAGGTGGAACTGTAGTATTAGCTAAAGTGGTAGACGATGGCTGATACAGGGGGTTCTCCGAAGAGCCATTGGAGCAGGCACTAGATTAGGGTTGGGAAGGATTTGTGATGATGGAGGCTGTCGTCGCTGAGAGACAATATCGGGTTTAAAACACTCAATTGGTGGAGAGATATCATCAAAGCTAGGAAGGAGGACCCCATTGGAAGGGGAAACATGTTGAAAATAGCACTCATGTTTAAAGAAAATCACATTTCTAGAAATACGTAGACGATTAGCAATAGCATCATAACATAAAACCCCCTTTTGAGCTGTGCTATAACCTATAAAAGCACACCATATTGACTGAGCTGTAAGCTTGTGGCGCTCATGAGGCAAGTGAATAAAGCAAACACATCCAAATGTGTGTAACGTGTGATAATCATGATGCATACAAAAAAGACGATAGTAAGGATCATCAAAATTCAATTGTTAAGAAGACAGACGATTATTCAGATAAATTGCAGTGGGTAAGGCTTCCACCCAAAATTTAGGTGGAATTGAAGACTCCAAGAGTAACGTTCGAACCATATCCAACAGTTGATGGTTTTTACGTTCAGCTACCCCATTTTATTGAGGGGTATAAAAACATGATCGTTGAGATATAATATCTTTCTGTTACAAAAAGACTTGAAAGTCATATGGCATATATTCGCCCCCATTATCAAACTATTAAAACCTTAATGCAGGTGAAAAATTATGTCTCAATATAAGCCATAGAAGTTTGAAAAACAATGAATAGCTTTGGTGTGTAGAAAATATATTCATGTGAAACGACTATAATCAGCAATGAATGTCACAAAATATTTATACTGCACATGTGAAATGACAGGAGTAATACCCCAAACATCCCTATGTATAATCTTAAAATATGTATTACAGTATTAGCACGACCACCATAAGTTGGGAAAGGTAAAGTTTTACATTTCTCTAGTTTATAAGTAGAGCAATCAAGAGGCAATCTATGAGTAGAACACTGATCTTTGTTACCAAGAAAACCACGCTTCATTAAATTAGACAAAATCACATTATTTGGATGGCCTAATCGTCTATGCCAAACTCCAGCCTTATTTTTAACAGTAATAGAAGCCAAAGACAAAGTTCTAGGAATAGTAAATTGCAACGGAAATAATCTTCCCACTTTAGGCCCCCTTGTGATCACCTTTCTCGACACTTGGTCCTGCACAAGATAACCATCACGAGAGAAATGTACAACCAGTGATTTCAATAGGCGCTCGGGCCCGAGCGCCTCGCTTCATTTTTAGGCGGCGTGCTTCAAAGAGGTGCCGCTTGGGCGCTCGCCCGAGCCCAGGCGCTGAGCGCTTTGGGCGAGCGCCTGGGTTAAAACAGGCGATCGAACTAGCGTTTTAGGTCTGGTTCGGTCTCCGGTGCTTTAGTTGGTTCAATCGAACCAACTAAAACACAGATATCAGTCTTCCTCTCGCAACTTTCCAACCCTAACCTTGCTCGTCGCTGTTGCTCCCGTTGCCGTTGCTACCGCTGTTGTCGCTCCCGCTGTTACCGCTGTCGTTGTTGCTACCACTATCACTGCTCGTCGCTCTCGCTCCTGCTCCTACTGCTCGCTGCTACTGCTGTTGCTGCCGCTGCCATTGTCGTCGCTCGCTGCTGCCACTACCACTGTCGTCGCGCGCCTCTCCCGCTCCCGCTCCCGCTCCCGCTCCCGCTCCCGCTCCCGCTCCCGTTGCTGTTTCTCGCTGCTTCCTCTTCTCACGTCGACTCGATAGTATACTATTAACAGTATATTAACAATATACCGTTAACTATATACTAATAACAATATTTTTTTATTTATTAGATTGATAATAACATAATATATTATTTTGATTTTAATACTGCTAATTTTTATTTATTTGAAATTATTGTTATTGTTTTGAATTTTTAGATTTTTTGTTAATGTGATATTGTGATTTTGTAATTTTTTTAATTTAATATCATATTTTTATTTAAATAATTATATTTATTAATTATATTATATATTTTTATATTTTAGCATCTCGCTTCGCTCGGGCGAGCGCCTAGCGCCTCGGGCGTTTTTGGACCTTGGCGCCTAGCGCTTTTTAAATCACTGTGTACATCACATTTATTATCCACCATTTGACCAATAGAAATTAAACTCATAGACAACCCAGGAGAGACAAATACATGATGAAAAAAGGTCCAATATCACTAATGGTTGTAATTGGAAGATTACCGCCATTAGTAATCTGAATATTTTGTGTACCAGTATACTGCCATAGATTATGTAACGAATTAGGCAAGCCAGTCATATGATTGGATGCTCCAGAATCAACAAACCAAGTAGAAGAAACAATCTTACCTTGGCCCTGATGTCCAATGGCAGAGAATGCTGTGGAAATCATCTGTTGGACCATTTTTGGAGTAATAACAGGCTGATTGGTGCTAGTAGATGTAGGACCAATATTCGCTCCATAGATTAATAAATCCAGAATAGTATTGCTCAATAGAGAGATTACTTTGACTGAAGTTACTAATCTCGAGTTCTAGTTGAAATCGTCTCGCACTATTATCTTGATGGTATATGCGCTTCAGATAATTCCACATCTCTTTAGCTGTATCAAAGGAACATAAATTATTCACCATATGGGCTTCAATATATCCTAAAACCCAAGAGATAATTCGAGCACCCTTTGCCTCCCATTGGCTAAGTTCCTTATCATCTTCAAGAGAAGTAGAAGACCATCAATGTGACTCCAAAGCTCCTTTCCTTTCAAAAACATTTTGAATTGAAATTCCCATGCTGCATAATTCTTTCCTGTAAATTTGATAGCCAAGGTCTCTCTGTAGGTATTCTTCCTAAAAGATTCAGAGTAAACATTCTTAAAAAAAATTCAAATGCAGAGATCTCAATGCAAGGCTGTCAACCACAAGTTAATCGACCAAAAAAAATCTCAAAGCGAAGTTGTTGATAAGAAATTAATCAACCCAGAATAAGAAAAATAAAAGCAGACCAGAAAACTTCGAAAGACGGAAGCAAAGCTGACAGTAATTCGAATATTCAGTTATAGATTTGAGAACTTGGCTCAAATACCATGACAAGTTTCGAGTAACTGGTTGAATGACCTCCTCTTGAGGATCCTTTCCATTAAATAAGAGTTGCTGTACAATCTATTTTAGGTAAGAATATATACACAGTTAATATTCTAATTATGGTAGAATAAATCTCGTAATCTCTGCCATAATTTCTGCCATTGATATAATACACTAATTATGGTAAAATAAATCTCGTAATCTTTGCCATAATTTCTGTCATGATCTCTGCCATTGGTAGGTGTTTGATAGCATATTTAACTAATGTATGTAGAATAAGCTTGCAGCCTTGCAGCCATGGTAACCACTACTCTCTATTTCTCCCATGCTAGGTAAATGAGGCATATATGAGGATTTCTTTTATCTTGTTTTTTGATGGGGTTGGGGAGGGGATGTGACACTAAGGATCTGAGTTACATATTCAATCAAGCTTGTTGATAGTATGTAAAACCTGGTATTCACAAAAAGCTATAAGATAATCAAAGACAAAGTTTGCATAGTTTGTCATGATTATTAGCAAGTTGGAATAACCTTTGGATTGGTAAGTACTTGCTTTAAAGATGGTTGTCCAAGTACTATTTATTTTTCAATTTTGGATGAGATCAGGCCATGGACAGCTTATTTGACATGTGCTGCATGTATTTAAATTTTTTTTTTTAACAAAGCATATAAGCATAATCATGCCCTATGAACCTGATATACTGTGGAAGGTTTTGAAGGTGAAAAAATGCATTTAGTGCTGGCAGTAAACGGTTGAGTTCTCTTAAATGTCTAACTAATTAAGACGACTAATGAAGACGTGGAATCTGATAAAGTAATTTCAAGAGTCGAAGTTGTTTCACTTTTACAAGTTGGTAACAAGTTTTAAGATGAGATCATGAGGTTTTCTGAATGGACAGTTCATTTTGTGCTATTTCCCATAAAGTTTTTCTTTTACTTTTGAGAATATAGGAAGGAAAATGTGCCATCTTTGCGTGCTTTAGAGACATATTTGAAGGAAAAGCTTATCACCTGGCTTAGTCCAGCATCCTTGGAGCTTCACCAGATCACATGGGATGATTCTGCATCCTTGCTGGAGAAAATTGTGGCATATGAGGTGGGACATCTTCCAAATTTAAATATGTCAGCAATCATTGTCATTAAACTATGAATATTTAAAGAAATATTAAGAGTTGCAAAATAAATTTTTTATTCTATTTAGGCTGTCCATCCAATCAGAAACTTGCTAGATCTAAAGAGAAGACTAAGTGAAGGTCATCGCTGCTTTGGATATTTACATCCAGCAATTCCAGGTTAGCTAGCTTTGGCATCATAGGAAGTTGAGTTAACATCTTGTCTTTTCCTTTTTGATTGCATTTGAAAATATCAAAATAGACTTGATTAGAGGCTTATTTATAGCAAGAACTTTATGTCCAGAAAGTACCACTGATTAACTTCTCTTAAGGTGTAACTTCATATGTATGAATCAAATTTTGCATGTAATTGTAACATCTCATAGTGTACTTGAAACCCACCAATTAATTGTAACTCCTATTCCATATGTTGGTTAGCTCTAAATGTATTTTTAAGGAAACCGAGAAGTAAATCTATCTCTTTATAAGCCAAAGCCCCCCCTCTTCATTTTCATGTGACTTAGGAATATTGGATTTCAAGGGGAAAGGGTGACATCGTCTTGAGGTAGGCTGCTACACTAATTTTATTATTTGGATACATTTATTTAGTTTATTTATATATAAAATAATATTTCTTTTCTTTGCTATATTTGACATTAAATCATGAAATTTTGTGTATATTAAAAATTATAGTTTTATAAATCATTAATTTAGTTATAAAGAAAACCAAATTATGTATATGATCTTATGTTTTAGAATTCGGGCATCATGTTGAATTTATTAATTGATGTTGATAGTATATTATTGATTTATATTTTGTAAATTAATTTATTAAAAGATATTTATTGTTGTTGTAAATCATGATTTAATTCTTCTATAATTAAATCATGATTTGTCAATTTTGAATTTTAATTAATTTAATTATGCCCATGATGTTATACTTTAGAAATTGGTTATCATATTTAATTTATCAATTGTTGTTAATGGATATTTATTAATTTGTATTTTAGGTTAATTTAACTATATACTTATTTGTGAATTTTATGATTATACATGTGTCTATGTGCTTTAAATTTTAATATCATTAATTTAATATTTATTTATTTTAATTATGAAATTTTACATCATGAATAAATAATTTATGAATGACTTTGATGTTATTCATGTTTTACTTTATTTATAAATTATTTGGTATTAATTATATAGTTGAACATTAAAATTTAAATTTGCATTTGTTATGGGAATTAAAATTCTTAAACTTAACAATAAAAAGGGGCTATGTTGGACCTAGTGTGGACGTTGGTCTAGCTCAGGTCAAAACCAGGTCGCCTGTGAACTTGACCTTGTGCGAGTCAAACTTATGTTAGGTTTGCAAGTGCTAGATTAGTTGTACCAAGTCCAATAGCCTTGGTTTGAGTCATGTTGAGATAAATTTGAGTTTGGCTCAAATCTCAGATTGATTTTCAGGGATTGAACTATATCATGAGTATGCTTATTATAATGCTTGATATTTATGATTTGATAAATTATTTCTTATATGATAGTGACACTTTGAAAACATATCATGAATTCTGATAATGTAAGGTAATGCTATATTACATAATAGTTGAACGAATACTTGTTTGATTTAATGAATGAAAAATTGATCAATGTGATATGAGATAATGATACGTTCGGATGTGTTTTCTTGCCAAGGTTGGGCAAGTCAATATTGATAGGATGATTCCCTTTGGGATCAGTGGGTCGTTAGATAAGGCGACGATTCCTCCATTTGATGTTGGAAGGAATGTGTCCTCACTTTGGCAGGTGAGAGGCATTATGTTATCCATCATTGGGAGTGCCATTTGGATTCTCTGTATTCGTCATTGGGAGAGTAAAAACTGAACTTGAAAATGTAAACCTCTCCATTCGTTAGTGGAAGAATAAAACTTATCTCGAGGATGTAAGCGTCTCCATCCGCCGTTAGGTGAGCATCTTGTGGGTGTCCAACTTTACACCTAGATTGTTTGATGATGCTACATGTGCATAATGATTGTGCATGCATGTTAATGCTATTGCACATGATTTTTCTACATGGTATATGTATATATATTAGATATTTGACATGATTTTGTAGATGAGACTTCAATTTAATCTATTGATGTATTTGATAAAAAAAAATGTATTTATGAATTTATAGATTTTTCGAGGATCCCTACTCAGCATGTTTGCTGAATTAATTTTTTGATTAATTATTATTTAGAACAGTCTTTTGAGCTAAGATGAGAATGTTGAAATGAATGTGTAAAATTATTAGGAAAGATAGGAAAAGAAATACTTTTATTTGTGAACAATTAGGTATTGTCTCAACTCTCAATAGAAAAAATCATTTAAGATGGTGTAGGCATGTGCTTATGATATATTCGGATGTAGTAGTTAGAACTTAGAAGAGGTGAAATGATTAATATTAGTGGTACCAAGAGAGATAGAGAAAGACCTAAAAAGATTTAAATAGAAACTATAAATAAAGATTTAAGTACTTTGAACTTAACTAAGCATATGACTTTTTACAGATCTCAATGATGACAAAAGATCCATGTAGCTGACCCAAAATAGTTGAGACTTGTGGCTTTGTTGTTGTTGTTGTAGTCTATTGAGGGAGAAAAGATCTCCCTCTATCACTAAGTAGTTCATCTCGAGAAATTCAATTATTGTGTTTTTAATTTAAATACCATTGGTTATTGAAATAATATTGTAATAAAGAAGACTTATGACCTTTATTAATAACTTGAATCAGTTTTGGTCACTCTGAATATTAATGTGAAGATGGTCACGTACTAGATATCCTATGTCTTTTGTATATTGAATCCGGGGCCTGACATAAGGTCTACGGATCAGTAGTCCAAGGTGAATAGCACTGGAACTACACAAAATTCATTTACATTCAATGGACTCATTTAGATCTGGAAGTTGGCTTCGGTTGCTCATATTTGGTGCACTTGATCTATGATTATTCTTTCCAAAGGTCATCTTGCAACAGACAGCCTATCTGTAAAGCTTAAGTTCATTTGGATCTTTATTACCATGGGTCAAGAAAAGGGACTGCCCATAACTGGCTTAAAATGGAACATCTATACTGTTATTTATGGGCTCCTATTTCTTTTATAAATTTATAAAACATCAGTATGTTTTATACTATATAGTTTCCCAATTATTTGTAGACCGGTAATACAACATATGCTTAAGTAGTCACTAGGGAGTTTAATGATATGTGAAGAAATAACTGTTGCAAATTAGCACTTTTATGTGAATCTGACCGGTCTTTTTCTCCCTTTTTATTAGGTGAACCACTTATTTTTATTGAGGTTGCACTTTTGAAGGATGTTGCTACATCTATACAGGTGATCAAGTTTGACACACTAATTTATTTCATTGTATATTGTTATGTATATCTTTGAAACATTCTTCCTTTAATTTTATAACTTCATGGTTTTGGTGGTAAATAGGAGGTATTGTGGGATAGTCCTCCAACTCCTGAATTTGAAGCCACGTGTGCATTGTTATATTCAATATCAGCAACTCAGGCAAGCTGGGATCTTATTCTGATACTATGGAAGTTTGTTTTCTTGTCTCAGAATTCTTTTTTGCAATGAACTTGATCCTGCATGGATTTGAATGCTAAATTTGCTCACGTGCCTAATTTTATTTTTGAAAAGAAATGTTATTGCTCATAGCACTCAATTGATGTGATATTAAGATGATGCTCATTTGTTTATATATCTATGAACCATTTCAAAGAGAATGTGGTGATAGCTTTGATGTATCTTCCAGAAGGAAGATGTTTCAAAGTCTACAATTGCCTCCTCTATCAGTGACTGCAATGGCAAATCAGATAGGTGGATTTAGCATTGTGCCATACCCTTAGTCGCTATATTTGTTTATCAGTTATACTATAAACCCTGCAGTTGCTCATATGTTCATAGAATTGTGAAGTAATATCATCTGTGATGTTCTAATTACTTAATGTTTTTGGTGCTTTTCACTTTTTGTGATGCATCGAATTTTCACTAGCTTGGACAGTGAAACTTACAGCCTCTTTGGCATATCCAAGGTTTTATGTTTCAGCTTGTACAGAGTGTGCACAGCTGGTTTACTTTTGGAACAGAATACCAGAAAGCAATTTTTTAAGCAAAGTTTGAGAAATAACTGATCCTTTAAAAGATCTAAATCCTTGAACCAAAAGATCATTTTGATAAGTTTTAATTGGCAACTTGGAGCAGGACTGTTCTGGTTATTAATCAATACAATTGTTCAACCCAAAAACTGACTGAGAAATGGTAACACATATACCCAGTTAGTGGGCCTTGTTCCCATATTGGAGCACGATATTATTTGCCCAAAAACATATGTTTTAGCCAAAAAACATAAGTTGGTTGTTTCTGTGTGTTTTTTTGTCAACACCCATGTTAATATCCATGATTCATGCATTTAAATCCTTTAGGTTCCTATAAGTTTGTTCACCAAAGAACCATGGTAATTATTCTACAGAATTTTAGATTGCTTTGCAGGAAATCTGATCATTATATCAAAATCGTGCAATAGTTTAATCAAGCATAAATTTCTGTTTGAGACATTCTGTTTGAGACAAGCTCTGGGGGAAATTTACTGATGCTAAATGTAAAGTGAGTAGTGTAAAGGTAACTTAATATGGATTAGAGTTACATAATGGACTGCTTAAATATGTAAGTTTGACAAGATGAATATTACTGCATCAAACTGCATTACCAGCATAGAGCTGTCTTGGTGACATACTCTGAAAGATCACCACTGCAAGCATGCTTTTCGGATCTAGAATGATTTGTTTATTCCAAAGTTGTCATAATTTTATATGCTGTGTTTCAGATCTGCATAAACGAATAGATATCATCTCCTTTTTTCTTGTGTTTTCTAATATTCTCCGAAATCATTATTTTAATTTCAATTTTGTTTATTATATTTGGACCAGCAAAAAGACACCATAGTTGCATTCAACGTTTGTTGTACCACGCAAAATGGTACGGTATGGGTGGTATGTACCGGTCCGAGCATTGGTCAATATATGGACCACCCTCATTTCAGGCGATTCAGTTAAATACTTAAATTAATAAAAAAATTCAAAGAAATGGTGGGGCCCCTATCTAAATCAGTGTTAAAAAAGAAAAAAAAGAGATTAGGGCTTGCGAATGCGAACCTAGTTCTCGCGTAAGATGTCGTCATGGCTTCACCACTGTTGTTGTTGATTTGCCATCACGTAAGATGCAAATGCAAGCCCTCTTCTCGTGTAAGATGCCGCCGTTGTCACCGTCGCTTCATTGTTGTTGCAGCTGCTTCCCAGGTACTTTGTCACTCCTCAGCTGCTTCCTAGGTACTCTATCACTGCTCTTTTCCTCCTCCTCTTTTTCTTTTTCCTTCTTCTTCCTCCACTTCCCTCTTCCTTCCTTCCTTCCTTCCTCCTTCCTACTCTATTCCTCCAACGTCGATTGTACTTCTCCCTTTTTTTTTTCCTTGCCGAACCATCAGTACGCATTGGCATACTGTGGTACATCGTTATGTAGCATTCTAGAAGATTGCCGAAACGGGTCCGGTACCTAAAAAGGCAAACCCTAGTTTCAATGATAACTTGGTTTCATATTGTTCATAGTCTAGATTGTCATACATATCTGCTTAATGGCCTTATGTTTTTTGATTAGTCAAAGCAAGGAACTTGATTTTTTTTTCTAGACTGGTCCATATTGACAGGTCTGAGCATGGACCAAGATGTGGACTGCCCTCTTTTGAGTGGTCTGGTCCCTTTTCTTTAAGAAGCTTTTTTTTTTTTCTTTGAAGGGTTTGATGAACTATGGCACACGAGCATCTCCCTCCCCGTTTTCGGTCGATCGACCACTACAGCCCATCTACCACCACTTACGAGCCCACTGCCTCCTTTTCATTCGTTCCCCCATCCCAAGCAAAATGTATTACAGTACACTTCGACATACCATGTGTTGGTAAATATTGCAACATATTAGATCTGTACTGATCTGGCCATTGACCGATATAGATCTGATATCTGAAATTGAAAACCTTCGGCCAAAGAAGTATGGGTAATTTCCTTAATTATTATCTGAGGTTGTGTACTTGCTTCATATAAGCTATTTAATAATCTTTCATTTATTTTAAAAATGCAATTTCATTTATAAGTAAATTTGACAAGGAAATCTACATGACAAATATAATTCAGCAGATCTCGCATGATAAATATATCACATGAATTATTTGTAGCAACTTCTTGTTTAGGTTCTTGTTAGATCTTTCGACACTATTTTTCTTTTTAATTTGCTGTTAGGAGCCATGTAATTGGTTTACAGTTTAATATATAATTATACTCTTCATAATTTGTGATGTTAGTAGTTTTGTTCTCAAATAAAATATCAAAGTACTAGTTAGGAGAAAATCTTCATTCCATGTTAAAGAACTTCAAAGAAGCTATGATGTTTTTCTGACTCTTTTCTAAATTGCCTGTGAACAAATGAATCATTGTATTTAACAGGGTTCTTAATTTCGATATGTACCGCCCTGTCACGCACTTAGCTGGTTTTGCCTAAGTCGTACGGCACCCTTGCGTGCCCATCTGCAAAAGTCAGTCTCTCCAAAACCTCCTATGATCTCTTAGGCCCTACAAAAGAGAAAATGGGTTAGAGAAAGCGTCTCACTCGAGATCCACAAGCAATCATTTCAGTAAACACTTCATAGCCGATGCAAATTACAAACAGACTTTACAAGCTCTGAACGGTCGTATAACAAATGGTCCAAAATGGTCCACTACAGACCGAAATCCCCACAAGTGCCCATATGACACAACCTTTGTTTGCAAGCCTAGGACGGCCACCAAAACCAAAGAAAATGGGGCTGCTAAGCCTACTGCCAACCCTTTATATGTTGTGTAAAGTATAAACAAAACCGAAAGACACAGACATACATAAGTATTACATCGAATACCCTGTTTATAATTTTGTCTGTGACATTCTCCCCCACTTATTCTTTCGTTGTCCTCGTCGAAGCCCTTGCTGACGTTACAACTCCTTGCATTTACTAAGTCTTTAATCTTCTGCTCCAACTACAATGAGCCTCTTGGCTCCCAACTGCTCTCCGCTGTTGTTGTTGAGTAGTCGAACTTTTAATCCGCCATGCTGCTTCAACTCGCCAATGACTCTGACTTTAGTGTGGGGTTGGCTAAGTTGTGTTGATCACTGTTGGTTCCTACGGATCCTTCAGATGAAGGAAAAGACCATCCTTAGTATGCGTTAGTCTCTCAAATGCCTCATGCCACTTGAATTGAGTGGATGTTTGTTGGAGCTTTAACAATTATCGCCTTACAAACTTTTGAAGTTTTTGGGTCCTTCCTTTATAAAATTTGCCCATCGACTCTTCTTTCACTTAGTTGCCACTTTCAGGTAGGTTCGTATCACTTCCGATTTCGATTGACATTCTATTGGGAAATGAACCGGATAATCTACTCTCAGTAGCACTGATCACCATTGGTGAGGATTTAACAACTATTGTCTTTCATTTGGTTTCTTCGAAGGGTCTTTGAACATGTGTAAAGCTCCTCTGCTGGATATATAAGAGAATTGTGATACTCGGTTTCGCCCATTCTCTTAAGAGTTGAGAAGGCAAATGTTACTTTGATTTCGCCCGCCTCTTCGAGGAATGTACTCTATGCATCGATCTGGTTACTAGACTTCGCCCGCTCTTTGCTTACACTTCTGAAGCACTTGAAGTGTTTGCACTCTTTGCGTTGAGTTAACTACTATGATTCACCTTCTCAATTCCATCGAACTTCTGGAATACAGGAAGTTTCACCCCAACTTGGAGTAAGTCTCTAATAGTTTTGGTTGCCTCTGGGATTGTACCGTCTTCTCCATCAACCTAGTCGGCTTACTCCACTGAGTAGCAAAGGTACAACATCGCGTACTGCCTGCTTCGTTCCTTGGCCGTGCACTCTTGTATCGTCCCAAAGTTCTCCACTTTCGACTATATTGATCAGAAGCTCGTTAGCATCGATCTTACGAATTTCCCTGGCCTCTGCCCTTCAGCCTTATCTCGGTACTTGGAGTTTGCCTCCGCATTCTCCACCTCCTCGGCCCCTTTCACGACCAAGCACTCTCCCTTAATGAGAGCAAGGGATCGATGACTTCACGGAAGTCCCACCTCTGCGGTACCATGGTGCTGCCATGCCCATGGCCCTACTATCCGTCGTCTCACATCTGCATCCCTTTCTTTGCGATCGGTAGATCTACCTTACGGCATTGTGGCACTCCTCCGAGTCCACCTACATTCTAACCGATGCTTGGTTTTGGGTAGCTAAGTCCATCTAGACTCGTCGTCGCTTCCTCGTCCCTTTCGACCTCCTGCTTCAACACCTCTGTGTTCTTCAAGCAGTTTTCCTTGGTCGATGGAAAGACAGACTGCAACTCCCATGCATGGCCTCTGCCATCATGTTGTAGGGTTTGCATCGATTCTGTTCTCCTTAGCTTCCTTGGTAGCAACGTTCGTTTACTCAGCCTTATCCTTTGACTTGCCGAGCTCCCTTAAACGAATATGAGCTCTAGAGCAGTCCAACTCTCCAGCCGCTCTGATCATACCTCTGCATGATCAAGTCCCTCCCATGGGACTCACTGGTACTTGTATTCGGTATACTCCCTCGGTGGTATACAACCCCCATATACTGATGATCAAGGCTTTTATTCGATGCAAAATTCGATTCACGCACGGAAGACTTGCCTCTACGGTACCATGACATTCACTCCTTGAATCCGTAGCCTTTCTTGCCGTCGTGTTGTTCTCCGAAGTGGAGTTCCCAGTAACTCCTGATCATACCTCTGTATGATATAGTCCCTTGCTGGACTAGATTCGTGTGTATCATATTGCCACGAATTGTTCCACCACGATCCGTTGCACCATGTCGCCTCCTGGTAACATCTCTATTGCATTCTGATCCTTGTGGGACGAACTCAGATTGTGATCCCTCCATGTGTGGCCTCTGCCAACACATCGCAGGGCCTCTTCCACCTTCGATTGTGGTCGCTCCTGTGGCAATCGACCTTCGTCCACCTGCTCTCGGGTCACACCTAGACGAAGCACCGCTCTAGGATAGTCCGTCGCTTAGTAGCTCTCGAAGTCCATCGACTTTACTGAAATTGGTGCACCATTGTCTGGATTTTAGGCCTCTGCCCCTACTATCAAAATGAGGGACCCATGGAACGACATTATCCCACTCTTGCCTTTGCAAGAGTTCATGTCCTAGATCTCTGTCCAAGGAAAGCTTCGTGCCTCTGCTCTACGTTCTATCTTCTATGCCAACTCCCTTCATGCGGCTTGGGTCCTTCACCCAGTTATACCTAAGTTACTCCGCTCCTCGATTTGCATTGAGTTGATGGTGGCCCTCGCGCTCACCATTCCACGGGTTAGCCCTTTGTTGAGTCCGATCTCCATTTCGGCTCTAAGTGTGCCTTCATTTGTGTTGCCTTTGGTCGCTCCTTCACTTGATCTCGCAATGCATACCCCAATGTATTATCTCAAGCGAAATCATGCGACGACTTCTCGTCGCTCGCTCGATCCATTGAGCTTTGTGAAGTTGTTTTGAGGTACTCAGCATGTGCGGTCCGTTGCACATGGTTCTCCCTTTGGAGAGTCGAGACTTATCTCTTCTGCATATCTGTCTCGTTAGAGTAACTTTTCTCTTTGCTTCCTTCCCTCTGAAAGTTTCAGAGACCACCATCCCCTTGGACTACTCCACCTTGCTGAACAAACTGTGTATTGTTCTGCCCCCATAAATGCACTTGCTAGATTGAGACTCCTTGCTAATACAGCCCCTGCTGCACCCCTCAAGGCCTAGCAACATGTTGAACTCGCTGCACACTTCAATCTCCTACGGACGTATCCTTCTTATGCTGAAGAGAAAGTTTCAATGCTCCATGATGTCGAGTTTCGGTCGCCTTAGGATAGTCACAAACACTCCATCGTTCGCATACAAGCCCTTGCATGAGTACTGAATTCTTCGAGTTAGCAATTTCCCTCACCTCTGTGAGCTTTGCACAACTCTTTTGGTCGCTGAACAACCCATTCCACTTTGCATGGTCTCATCCTTTACCAAGCGCCTCGCTTGCCTTGAGCACCATCAAGTATGGTTGCCAACATTGAGTCGTAGCTCAAACTCAGCTATCCCAACCTTTGTGCGCTACGCATTCTTCCCAGCTTGCTTGTCCTCGTGGTGCCTCTTGCGCGAAGGGTTGGCCATTTCTCTAAATGTCAATCTCAGATACCCGCTCCTCTGAGCGACTCTTTTTCCCTACATCTCCATACTCGTTTTCCCCTAAACGGTCGTGCGTGCTGGCTACCCTCAACGCAGCCCCGCTAGGTCCCCCATGATTGTATGCCAAGTGTTTCTATGAGTGCTTGTCCCGCTCTGATACCATATGTCACGCACTTAGTTGGTTTTGCCTAAGTCGTGCGACACCCTTGTGTGTCCGTTCGCAAAGGTCAGCCTCCCCGAAACCTCCTATGATCTCTTAGGCCCTACAAAAGAGTAAACGGGTTAGAGAAAGCATCTCACTCGGATCCACAAGCAATCATTTCAGTAAACACTTCATAGCCAATGCAAATTACAAACAGACTTTACAAACTCTGAATGGTTGCACAACAAAGGGTCCAAAATAATCCACTACAGACTAAAATCCCCACAAGTGCTCACATGACACAACATTTGTTTGCAAACCTAGGATGACCACTAAAACTAAAGAAAATGGGGCTGCTAAGCCTACTACCAACCCTTTATATGCTGTGCAAAGCATAAACAAAACCGAAAGATATGGACATACATAAGCATTACATCAAACACCCCATTTATAATTTTGTCCATGACAATTCGGTACGAGTGGTACATACCGGTCTTAGAGGATATCGATACGTGGACCGCCCTCTATTGGGCGGTACCAGTGTTTTGACCCCATATCGGGAGATACAAGGTCTATATTGGGCGGTAATAGTTGAAATCTGACCGTTACCGAGGCGTACTAATTGGTACACCCCGGATTTCGATCGTTACTGAGGTGTATCGGTTGGTATACCCTGGATTTCGATTGTTACCGAGACATACTGGTCGGTACACCTCGGTATTTTTGGAGGTTTTTCAGCTCTTTTTGGGTGTATCGTCGGTATGCTTCAGTATGTACTGTCCTAAGTAGGGCTCGGTACACTAGTATGGACCCAAATTGAGAACCTTGGTATTTAATGCATTGAATTGATTGAAGCAATTTGTACTCTATATGCATTCACTTTCTTTTAACCTTATTGTTTGTTGCAATTGACATATCTTTTGGCTATTATACCATCAGTTTTTGTTTGTAGGCTACACATTAAGCTTTATCTTGTTATAATTTCCCTTGAGGTGTTATATAAATTTGCCATGCCATTTATCCTTTACTAATCCATGTCACAAAGTTGAATACTTTTGATGATTGGCAGCCAGGTTTATCAGGAATCAATCTAGGGAAGTTTCTTATCAAACGGGTGATCCATCTACTAAGAAGAGATATGCCACATATTTCAGTAAGTGCTCTTATTCTCTGCAGCTTTCTTAGGAAGCTATAAGATCTTAAAATCTAGACCCTGAAGAATTGACGGCCCCATTCTTCACTTTCTGACACGTGTAATAATGCTTTGCATATTCTTAAATGCCTTTTACATTCCATTCCATTGAAGCTGAAGCTTACTTTGTTTTAGAACTTCAGTTTCTACCATGTCCAATGGTTAAAACTCAAAGTATCATAAAAGCAATGAATGATGTTTAGTTGGTTGATGCCCGAAACGGGCGGTACATACTTGTTCGGGCATCAACTGGTACGCAGACCACCCTCAGTTTGGTTTGCCCATCTAAAAGGGAAATTTTCCTAACCCTAATCACTTCTCAGTTCTCATGCACGCAGCCTCCGTTTCTCACGCAAGCTGCCTTCGCTTCTCACACATCTGCGACCGCCGCTTCTCATTGCAACCAACCTCCACTCTCACATGGGCTGCAACCTTACCGCACACAATGACCTCTGCTTGCCATGAGCTCACTGCACAATTTCACCGCACATGGCCTTTGCCCTAATCACTTCTCAGGTACGCCTTTTCTCTTCCTCTTCCTCCTCTTCCTCTAACTATCTCCTCTTCTTCATTCCTCTTTCCTCCTCTTCCTCCACTGCCTCTTCCTCTTCTTCTCTTAAACATCAGTATGTACCAACACAAGTTACACCGGTATTGACCAGTATGCACTAGTCTAATTAGATAGCCAAAATGGGTACATGATCCTTGCATAAAAGTATGTTAGTTGTTGAGAGGATGTAGTGAAGTTGGAGAGGAGGGAGAAGAAATACGAGAGAAAGATGGCTGTGGTAGTAGTAGTATGAAAAATAAGTGTTGTTTGGATTATGCAACCTCTTAAACTGTTGTCTTCAGCAACTTTTGATACTTTGCTTCAGTGATTTAAAAAGGCGCTCGGGCGCTCGCTTAGGCGCTCGGGCGAGGCGAGGCGAGGCCCAAGCGCCTCGCTAATCTCCCAGGCGGCGCGCTTCAAACAGGCGCCGCTTGGGTGCTCGCCTGAGCCCAGGCGCTGGGCGCTTCGGGCGAGCGCCTGGGTTAACGAAGGTGACCGAACCAGGATTTTAGGCCTAGTTCGGTCTATGATGGTTAGTTGGTTCAATCGAACCAACTAAAATTGATATAAGTGACAACTGAACCCTAACCCTCGCCGCTGCCGATCCCGATCTCGCTGCTCGCCGCTCCTGCTCTCGCTGCCGCTGCTCGCCGTTGTCGCTGCTCGCAAACGCTGTCGTCGCTCGCGCCTCCCGCTGCTCGTCGCTCTTGCTCCCGCTCCCGCTACCGCTGTCGCTGCTCGCAAACGCTGCTACTGTCGCCGCTCGCGCCTCCAGCTGCTCGCCGCTCCCGCTCCCGCTCCCGCCGCTCGCCGTTGTCGTCACTACCGCTGTCGCCGCTGCCACTTCCTCTTTTCTCAGTCAGCAGGCTCAGCACCCCTTTACACTTCCTTTTAACAGTATACGTATACTGTATACTGTTAATATTATTAAGTTTATTTGAAATGATTAATTTTCAATACTATTAATAGATTAATAATATATTATTTTGATTTTAATACTGTTAATTTTAATTATTTGAAAATTTTTGTTAATGTGACATTATGATTTTGTATCTTAGATTTTCTTAATTTAATAGCATATTTTTATTTAAAATTTAAAATAATTATATTTATTAATTATATTATATATTTTAATATTTTAGCGTCTCACTTTGCTCAGGCGAGCGCCTGGGCGAGCGCCTAGCGCCTCGGGCGTTTTTGGATCTTGGCGTCTTTTGGCGCCTAGCGCTTTTTAAATCATTGCTTTGCTTGTCTTCCATGTTTTTCTGTTGGCCAAATTTAGAAGTTAAATTGTACCTTGCATGGAAGGCAAGGCTTTGGTGCAATTTCCTTTACAGTTTCTTCTAAGCCTTTTGACAATATTATTGGCTACAAGACTGAGTGGGTGGATAGTGTCAACTAGAAGGAAGAGCGAAAACTTATTTTCTTTTCCTGAAAGAAAAACTAAACTTTACTAATTAGAACGAAAAGTTGCATCTCCGTTCACATTTGAGTGAACCAAAAAATTTACATAAGTATGCCAACCTCTCTCCACAAGCCAAGGCCAGACAATCTGTTAGTTGTGGCATAAAATGGAAGCCAGTGAGCATCCATATTTCCTTCTCTGGATACATGGATGACTCTATACTTGAGAAGTTAAAAAAAAAAAAAGAATGTTACAGATTAATTTCAGTATCTTCCATGGTGGATTGCATCACTTGTTATCCACCATAAGCATGGAGTCAGTCTCTATATGGGTCAATCGCAAGCCCTCTTGCATGGTAGCCACTGCTTCAGCATATAAAGCATCCTGACACTCGAAGTACCTATAACCAATAAAAAGACAAGAGGCATCATCTGTTCCTGCCACAAAACCATCACCTCCATCCAAGTGATGGTGCAAAGATTCATCACAATTAATCTTGACCCATTTCTGATTAGTTCTTTCCCATCTAACAAGTGTAGGAGTAGGACTATTCACAGGCCCCTCAGACAAAGATAGTTGGTCAACAACAGAAAATTGTGCCAAAACCTTGTACAATAGAGTACTAGCTTTAGGATTAACTCCATGAAACTCAACATTATTACAAGCTTTCCGTAAAATCCAGAGTGCAGTAGCAATCAATGATTTTGACATATCAGCAACACAAGAAGAGGCATTTCTCCCTCCTCAATCCAAGCACCCTGAGACCATCTAGAAAACATCTCAAATTGCATGTCAACATGAGCCTCAATAAGGTTCACAGATTAACAACAAAGGTGCACTGAAAGAATAGATGATTAATGGACTCAGGGATATCATTGTACAAAGCACAAATTTCATGTTCACAAATTTCCAGTTTCGCCAACCTTTCAAAAGTCGGGAGGTGGCAATGTAGTGAGTTCCAATAGAAAACCTTGATGCATGGAATCGTAGGAAGCCAAGTATTGCTACCCATCCCAAATATTTGAGGGGTCAAAAATTTGGGACTGAAAAAACCTGAAAACAGATCTCGCTGTTACTAAGCCATGCTTCTCATGAACCCAAATCCAAGGATTGTTGCTGGGTGTCAGTGGAATATCAATCCTACTAACCTTATTAGATAGGGAAGATTTAAACAATTGGGACAATTTGGAATGATTCCAATCACCATTAGCAAACAACTCATTAACAAAAAAAAGGTTCAGATCTCAAACTAACACTAAAGAAAGCTGTTTCATTTCAAGAGGAAGATAAAAAATCCAGCTATCGGAAAAAATCCTTATAGTGGACCCATTACCAACATGCTTCGAACCAAAACATAATTGTTCCAAAGCTTTGAGGAAAATTTTCTAGCCCAACTACACTTAAACACTATGGACATATGCCAAGGATCAATGTTCGCATATGTAGCTCTTACCATTTTAACCCACAAATTATCATCCTCAGTCAAGTATTGAAAAATTCACATAGCATGTAAAGCCAATTTAGTCAAATGAATCTCATGAATACATAATGCCCCCAGCAGACTTAGGAGTAGAAACAACCTCCTATGAAATCAAATGAAGGCCACGAGAGTGATCACCTTTAGTCCAATGAAAATACCTAATAATACGATTAATATTGTTAAGAATAGAATCCGACATCCAAGTAATGACAAGAGAGTGCAAAGGGATAACATTAGGTACAGAGTTAACAAGGAAAATCCTCTTGGCCTATGACAAATGAGATCCTTGCCAAGAGCTAAGCTGCATCTTGATGGAGCGAAAGCCTCTTGATGTATGCTGAGAAGTGTATCCTATTGGATCAGAGCTACACCTGAGGAGCATGTATAAAATTATTCACATCACAAAGAAGTGGTTCAACTAGTGGTTACAACTCACCTAGATCTTCCTCTTCTTCAAGAAACACTAGTTCTTCCTCATCATCTTCATCATCTTAATGCAAGATTATATAAGATTTGAAAATGACTTTTACTTGTGTCCTACGGTCCACTTCTCACCACATGATACTTTACTCTTTCTCTCTACCAACTCTGGTATGGTTAGGGACTGTGTTGACCTTGAGGAGCCATGAGACCTTCAAAAAATATGAGTATGAGATAGTAGTGTAGAAAATTTAGTAACAAAATAGGTCATGACATGGCTATTGGTCCAGAAGCGATAATGGCAAGCCTAGTCATATGCATTAGTGGTGTAGGACAACCGTAAAGGGGATGCTTAACATGAGAGAATTGATAGGTGGGTAATAAATAAAAAAAGGCTAAAACTAAGAGAGAGGAAAACAAAATTTGATTTGCAGAACTATTAATTTATGCAATAAAGAAAAATTCTAGAGTTCAACACGTACTAAGATGGTCAAGGAGGGCTTTGAACATCCTTCTAGTTGGCTTATGATGTTGAGTGCAAGGTTCGCCGTACCGTAGCATATCGCTCGATACGAGTGGTATATTAATATGCCCTCATGTGCTGTATGTTTGTACACTCGGTATGGCTCAGTACATACCATATCGACAGTTGATCGATACACTGGTACAGACCGATAAGGTGAACCATGGTTGAGAGGTCGATCCATAGGTTTTCATTGCAAGCTGACTGAGGCAAGGAGAGGAGAAATCAGCACTCACATATTTTGTGAGAAATAACAATATTATTCATTCTAAGACCAATCCCAATACAATTCTTGATATCTTTATATAGGCCACAAATACAAGAAGAAAAGTAACTACCAAAGAAGAAAATAAAAATCACATCATGACGATTCAATACATTGTATATGGTCAACTTTTAAACAGATAAAGCTTCCAGAATAGTCTTGTAAAATAATCTTCCTTCTTTGTGCATGATTCGGATTGGTCCTTTTTCTTTTCACGTGTGCAAAATATGGCCTGATTTCCATCACATAGAGGAGGGTGTGGGTCTTGATTGAGACAAAATCCGATGAGTTAACCAAATGCGCATTATCATAAATGTCAAGCGACATGGTGGACTTTTTTTCCAAAACTTGAGTGAAATTTCTTTTCTATGTAGAGAAACCAAAAGGACAAACTTCTAGGTCCCTGATAAGTTCTTTTTTATCTAAAAAACAATATAAGAACACTTGAGCTTTTTAATTTTATTTTGATTTTGTTGGTACGTGTCAGTTTGTTGTGCTTGCTGAAACTAATATACTTCCATTTCTTGTTAAATATTGTGAAGATTTTTGCTACTCTTAGCCCAATCCCTGGATATATGCACTGGCTTCTTCCAAAGTTTGCTTCTCAAATAAAACTTTCTAAATTGGAGACTGAGGATATGAAGCACTTCTCAGAAAAAGGCTCTGGTTCAAATTTCATAGAGGACCTCCTTCTTCCAGAAGAAAAAGAGATGATACTCAGTGGCTACCTTAAATGGCTGCAGTCGGGTACAGCTTCTGAAATTGAGTTTGATAAATCAGAGTGCATGGACACAAGGTACATGGCAATAAAAGAATATAGCAAAATTTTCAGGAATGACATCCTTCTCCCTGAGGATGAAATGATAACATCTTTAACTTTTATGGCTCTGTACATCGATCAACATCACATGACTTTTGTAGAGCATAGGATAAAAGTATTATGATGAATTTTCTCCTTAGGATGTTAAATCCTCCTAGAATGGAAATTTTTAATAGGAATACCAGCTTGCCTATTTCCTTGAACATCTTTGCAATATTGGTCTTTTAGTAACCAACAAATCATAGCAAATCCCTCTTAAACTAAAGGCTTGTTGCAAACTGAAGAAAATGTCTCCTCCATTGTCACCGAAGAGCCTGGAGAGAAGACTGCAAGGACATTAAGACTGAAAAAATATGCTTGAAGTATCTTGGATAAGAGGGGAGACAGATTCCAGGCTTGACACCAATACCACAGAAAGAAAAGAAGGGCTCTACATAGTGCAAAATGTTGAGAATCTATGAAACTATCTTGATACAATGCTTAATACAAATAATACATAAACCATCTATTTATCATTTATCCATCTAATATTTTTCATCTTTGTTGAAAAATTAACATCGAAAAAATCTCTTAGTAAGTATTTGAAAAATATCCTTAAAATTCTATTGTGATGAATGGATTGATAAGATATCAGATACTTTCCATTCATCCAAGAAGTATTTAAAATTATCACATTGGATATGTACCTAATACAAATTAAACTGACAATTCATGCTATCCATGTTCTTTAGTTAAAAGTTGACCAGAATTTAGGGTGACAAGGCAAGGTAAAGGAAATGGACAAATATCAATGAGAAAGAAGAGAGAAGTTACAAGGAGAGGAAGGATTAAGTTGAATTTTTTAAGCTATCTACTTATTATAAAGTAAAAAGGATGTACCCAGTGCACGAGGCTCTCGCCAATGTGGGATCTGAGGAGAGTTATGTATGCATCCTTACCTTTAAATATTTAAAAAGGTTATATTTGTGACTCGAACCTTGGTCTCCAAGGTCGTAAAGGAGCAATCTTACTTTCATACCAAGGCCTGCCCTCGTCTACTTATTATAAATGCCATAACCAAAATATGTCAAGGAATGGTAATGAGCCAACAAAAAGGCCCATTAAATTATGATGCTAACTAGTTATTTAGATTCTTGTTAGGTGTCACATTATCTACATATTTTATTTGAACTTTATTTGTTCTACTTCCATATCTGTTATCATTAGCATCATATTACTGGGTTCTGTTTTGTCACAGGGAACACGATTCTGGAAAAGATGTTATGGAAATAATGTATAAATTACTGACATCAAGAGAGTGGAACAAGTCTGATATCTTGAGTGAAGCACTAAAACCCCCTCTACTTCGTTTGTGTGCAAGGTTTGTGGATTAAGTAAATATATGATTTTTTTAAGTATTTTTATAAACTTTAAAAGGGATTGATTGTCTTTCTTATTCAAGAGCATGATTGGATATTAACAATTTGAAGAATATTGCACCAATCAGAAAATCCAATTTGTCACTTAGAAATTACCAAGAATGATGTCCATAATAATATAGTGTCTTTCATTTTCTTTTCACTATTTCATTACTTTATATGTCACTATTGCTGATTCAGAGTCAAATCTTGTCCCAGTATCTGATGATGTTACCCAGTTGTGTGAAGTGAACCCTCTACAACTACAAAATTTTTAGTGAAACTTTTCTTAAATCAATATGCATAACAGGTTCATTTCAGGATCTTCACAGTTGAAATTAAACATTGTTGGTCATGAATCTTCATAGTGTGACTTTTGTCTTTATGTGTTAACAGTAAATCTTTGGTTGGTAATGTTTCTTTCAACCTGTGAGCTCAAAACAACAAATAATCTTCATGTATTCAGTTCCTAATGTGTCATGACTAAGATGGATGACATTATTTTTGCTCTACTTAAACTATTTAAGTAGTCATGATTGTTAATATCAATCTCCGTTTCTTTCTTCTTTGCCAAGTGGGTGACAAGATTTGGCTGTGAAACTAATAAGCAAAATTTTCAAGCTTAAATGTCTTAACTGCATTTTTTTCCTCTGTTAGACTAGGCAATACCAAGATATAACGGGATCAATCTCCATTTGTTTCTTCTTCTACTAGGAGGTGATGAGATTTCACTATTAACTAACAAACAATATTTTCAATCTCAAAATGTCATATTTGGAACTTCTTTTTTTTCTATTAAACTAAGCAAATACAATGTTTGAAAGGATATAAATTTGTTTCTTAAAATATGAATTTAACAGACCCAACTAAGCTTATTATAGGTAAAAGAATGATATTCCTTAATTGTTGGAAAAATAGATATCAGTTTCTTGTAGAGATAGGGAACACCATGAACCAATCTTGTGTGTTTTTGATCAAAATCATATAGGATCTTGATTATGTTTTTATGACTATTATTTGTGCTATCACTTGTAGGTACATCCTTAAAGAGAAGAAACGAGGGAAAGCTCTTGATGTGGTCGCTAACTTCCATTTACAAAATGGATCGGTATGCCATGTCATGTTTATCTTTATTGATAAGTTGGATTCAACGTTTTGATATTTTGTTTTTACTTTTTATATTTCATATTTGTTTATTATCTTCGTCTTGTCTTTTCTGTCCGAGCCTCTTGACCTTAGTCTTGATGTTTTGGCTTGTTATTGGTGTAGAATAGTTTGGACAAAGTAGATGCAATCTATTATTAAGATGAATGTGTTATTGTGTATACGACAGTGATCTCACTATGATTGTGAGCCTAGATTAAGGGTTATGCATGTTATGGATATAGGCTCAAGTGTCGTAGTATAAATTGGATAATTTGGGATACCTGAGGATACTTTGTTGATACTTCTAATTAGGATCTTGTTTTTCTTGAATGTTAATTTTTTGATGCTAAATAAGATGGATAAATGATTTTTGAACTGCCATCTGTTTCCATTTTGGTAAGTATTGGATGATAATCAATAGGCTTATATTATTGATTTTTGCTTCTTCCATTATTAACTCCTGTACCTTGCTCATTAAATGATTTTTCCCATGATGAATAAGTTACTGATGCTCATTGGTTATTTGTTTTCATTTATTAAGATTAATATCTCCACTTATTCTCTAGGACTTCAACTGGATGATGCCGAGTGTTGTCACCATGTTGTATCTTGTTTTATTCTTCAAGTTATATTGTACCTTTTCATGTTGTAGCAATATCTTTCTCCATCCCTAGTACCTGATGTATCGTAATAATGCTCTAATGGTTTTCTTTCTACTTTACTTAAAGAGTAGACTGAAGAGAATTGTAGACTAGTGATACACGATTACTCTCTAACAAATAATTTGGTCTTATTTATTATCTAGTCACAAAAGTTAGGATGAATATTATCATTATTGTATATTATGCCAAAAAGGTAAAAACTTCATATAGTACAAACTAAAGGGGCGTACCTAGTGCACGAAGCTCCTACCATTGTGGGGTCTAGGGAGTGTCAATGTATAAACATCATGTAGTATAAATCAAGGTCTGCCATAATATACCACCTGGTACGGGTGGTATGTACCGGTCCGATAGGCTAACGGTACGCGGACTGCCTGCTACCGGTCCGCTGTAGCAGTGTACTGTAGCACTGTAGAGAGCACTGTAGCACTGTAGAATGTACTGTAGCAATACACTGTAGCACTGCAACAGTACAGTTACTGTTGCAGTGCACTGTTATAGTAGCAGTACAGTGCACCAGTACACTGTAGCAATACACTGTAATAGTGCTACAGTGCTCGGTGCACCTAGGTATACCGCTTGGTACATCGTACCGTACCGGTACCGAACTTAGGTCGAAATACCGGTACGGTACGGTATTGCGAACCTTGATACAAACTACAAACTATGGATTATGATTTTTGAGATGTAGCTTTGGTAAAAATATTGAATCCAACTAATATTGGCATTTGTTTAAGGGTGAGTTTGTGAACACATTTGATATGCGTATTGAAGGCCCAATGCACATTTTAAATATGAATTGGTATTTGGTAAACCTTTTTAAAATTATATCTGGTTTGGATACTGCATTGAAAATCCTCGCATTAGCATTTCAACTTTTGTGGGACTAATATAATTTTTTAAATTCCCAAAGTACCCTATGGAAGTATCTAAATTCACAAAATTACCATAGAAATTGTAACCCTACTTATCCATTCTTTTGATTTTTCTCGTTGCCTCTTTCCTCACAAGTCTGAAATTTTATTTATTATTTTCAAATATTATTTTACATTCATTTATATGGTTAATTTATTTATTATATAATGGGCCATATGAAATTTTTGTAAGATTATATACATTTTTATTTATTTATTAATTTAAATGAAAATATGTATTTATTTTTGAATAAATATTAAAAATATTAAAAGAGTAAAATTATCATATAATATTCAATAGACTTTTGAAATACATTTTTATCAACTAACACTTATGTCAATGCACATTTAAAATGCAGTTTTCATCTATTGTTTACCAAACACTCAAAGCATTTCACAACTATACATTTATTTAAGCCCCTTTCTCTAAATGCATATTTATAATACAAATGTGTTCTCAAAGGCAGTCTAAATGCCTCTACCTGACTCATGCCACTCTCCACACTGCCCCTCTAGCCTTTCCCTATAAGTCCTCCCATATCATGCAACAGCCATGCCACCCCTTTTTCTTCCCTTTTTTTTTGTCTCATGAGATATATCATCTCCACACATGGAAGTAGAGCTATTTCATTCCAACAAGATGAAGACAGATCCCTGCACACTAGTTTCACCCCTCCAAAAATATCTCAATTTACAAACTTTTCCATAACTTCTTCAAATGTATCCACAAAACTCAAGTTTAATTTCACCTTTTCATGAGCAATATCTTTAAAATATAACTTATCATTGTGTGTTGATCCTTTGTTCCTCTTTTCTTGAAATAATGTGGCATGCTGGTGGCATGGGTGGAAAACCGTGAGCCTTTTATGTCTATTAGAAGTTGGCTTGTCGCAATTTGGTTAAGATTTAATATCCATGTTAATCATCTTATTATTATGTTTCACGCGCTAGTGGTGCATTGGAATGAAAAATTTCAGTGGAAAATGTTCTATTTCAACCAAAACATAAATCCATTGTAGACTTTGGAAGATTTGTTTTTTGCATGCTGTTGAGTCATACTCTATATGTGCAATTATTATTTCATTCCTGGAGTAGGATTATGATAAAATAACATTACCAGAAGATGCAGCTATTATGGCTAAACCTTTGTATGTAAAGGATACTCATTCTCCAAATTACCAATGTTGACTTATGAGAGAGAAATTTGCAAGGATCTTCAGTAGAAATATTATATTTGCTGATAATTGAATGATTTATCCAATTAGTTAACCAAAGGTGGCCTTAACTAGTATGATGTGAATAGAAAAATATCATATTTTGCTAGGGTTGGATGAGACCTGTATATACATAGATATAGCACTTTAAATAATAAGAGAATCTTGTAGCTAAGTAGGCATAGGTAACCAGTATGACCTCGGTGTTCAAATATTAAGATGTATGCTGTAACATCTTCTGAAACTCCTTGCCTCAGGAAACATGTACTGCAACTCTGCTAAATGAAAGAATGAGTTGGAGTTTTGAGGAATTAACCAATTAATGAATGAATGAAATATGAAGTTGTGCCAACATTTAGAATTGAATAGGCTTTGGCCTATTCTTTGCTTCACCAAAAAAAAAAAAAAAAAGACAAAGAAGAAGAAGAAAATCATTTAGGATAGATGGAACAGACTTTTAGTTCTTTATAAATACTCAATATTTTCTGCCACTTCTTTTGATCCATGTTAATTGCTTGAAGCATATATTAGTACACACAAAGTCCTTTCTTGAATGGACAAGGGGATCTAAGTAGCTACTCCACTCATTCATATTTATTGTTAAACTCTTTTCACAGTCAATGCCAAGCTCAGAATAAAGAGGGTTGTATTAGGTATCTTAAAACTTTGTCAGATGGTATAATTAGTTATCATGCTACTCATACACTAGAGGTCCCCTGTTCATATTTGGGCACGGACAAAAAAAAAAGAAGTTTTTACCCTCAAAATTCTGGAAGCATGGCCTGTCCTTGTAATTTATCCCTTTTTATCAGTTGCCATGCAAATTTCTCCTATATTTCAATTTTGTTGCGCTTACTTGACATGGTTAGTAAAATTTCTAGAGTATGAAATATTGAATCCTTCTGAAATACTGAACAAAGAAAATCATACCATTATCAATGAAATAATGGTCCAAGATAAGCACAATGGCAGTTATTGATGTTCTGAAGAGCAAGTACTATCATTATTTGTCGAAATTTTTTATGTCTTATGACTATATAGTTTCTAAATAAATTTGTTGCTTTTATGTTGTAACCCTAGACAATCATTGTAATAGCTTCATTCCATTTGAGACCAAAATTATTTGAAGTATCTAAACATGTTATCCACTTCATTAATGCATTTTTTGAGGAACTCAATGCTTGTCAACGGTTGTTATAGATGATTGAAAGGTTAAACTGGATGGCAGATAGTTCAGACAAGGGCATTGAACAAAGTGGAGGCATCATGGTAAATTATGTATACAGGTAAATGCTTTCTAGAAAGTTCTACTTTTATTATTTAGTACATTCATGACTTAATGCTCATGCAAATTGGATTTATAAAAAAAAATTCAGGCTAGACAGGATTGATGAATATGCACAGTCATATTTGAACACTGGGCATATCCATGCTTCAAGTAGCCTTCACCAATATCTTGAGGTAATTCTATGCTATTCTTTTGAAGGTTATGCATAAGTAGTTGCATAGTACCCTTACACATCTAATTTTTTGTTGATTGAATAAATGCTCTCTGATGTGTCATTTTGTCAGCTGAGCCTAAGAGCACGATCTTAAAACCACAGTTAACCACATCTTACGCTATAGTCAACCTGATTTGAAATCCTTGTTTAATACCGAAACTCTGCCAACAACATAGAACTTCTTTCCAACTGTTCCATATACGGATCACTGTGTTTTGATTTGGCATTACAAAAGGTGTCATTACTTGCTCAAGTAGATAGCAGATTCACCAATTCTTTGACTATTTCTGGATTTAAAAAATGCTCTATAGTCCCATTATTTCTATGTACTGAGGGTCTATATAACTAATTAATCCACAGAAGTACATTGGTCAACTCCAGAAATTCTAATGGCAGTCTCAATTAATAAATATTCCTACTCTAGTTTCATAGAATTCTGCACTACATTTTTTTTTCTGTTCCCCCTTGCACCTATCTTTTCTCTAATAATAATAAGATATAGCTAATGTTTGTCTTAATAAGTTGATAACATTAAAATGCTATGCTAAGAAATTTTTACTCTGGTTCGTACATCTATGCACATTTTTCTTTAGCTTTCTCTATTACTGTTGTAAATTTGAGCCATTTTCCAGGTGGGGAACCTTCACAGATTTCCATTTTTGAGTGTCCGTCTCATGTGCTTTAAATTTTTATGTTATTTTAGTTGAGAAATGTGATTTAAAGTTTTGTAAAGATTGAAGGCTGAGTCTCAAGACGGTTGCTAAAATCATTGGTGGGAGCAAAATTTTTATACAGAAAATCATTGAACAAAGGGCTGGTTAAGCAAGTGGTAGATGCATAGAGTTCCCAGACATGCTAGTTAATGAAAACCAAACTTCTGGCATTATGTTATTCATGTGAAGTATTTTACATTGGTCTGGATGAATTTAGCATCTCTGGCACTTATTGTACCTAGAGTGAAAGAAATCATTTATGCTTGTTATAGTATTTCATCCCATTTATTCACTCTTGCATTTCTCATCCATTTAGGCACTCTAGCATTTCACATCCATTTAGGCATACTATTACAAATATTATTCAGATAGTAAAACATGCAACTCAAAAAGCATTAATCAGCAATCTTTTTCAGTATAGTATTTCATTCTTTTCTGAAATTTCTTTTACCTCTAGGATATGTTTTTTTTGGCAGCTACACTGACAGATGAATGTGACCATGGAAGCAACTTGTAGAAACTACTGATGAAGATCAAAGATATCAATAAATACTGAATCATAGTGGATATTTTCAGGTAAACAGATTCAAAGATTAAATTGATGCTTAGTTTTGATAAGAGTTTTTATTTCTATGAATAGTATTATGCTTTAAGTTTTTGTTCTTCAGGATATGTTTTTCTTTCTCATAGTGGTTAGCATATACTGTGAACTAGTTCCTTCTTGTCACAAAATGATAGTAGTTCTTTGTTTGATTTCCCTTTGTTGGTTTCATCGTGAAGCACATGGGTGTATCACTGATAGTTCTATTGTTCATTTACGGAGGTAATAACCGAAGTCGTGCCAGTATTTCTCATTAGAAATGTGAATAAGGTCCCCGAGTTGCTATGCTGTTGTTTGCGCTCTATGAGCTGTATAAATACAACCAGTGCTTGTGTTCTAGATATGTTGTGAACGAATAACAAACATATGCCACGCGTCTGATTTAGTGACTGATGTTTGTGGTGGCGGCTAATGCTTTCCATTGGTAATGTATTCCTGATGACGTAAAACGATCAGCCTTCAAAGCTGATGTTTATTAACTCGTTTTACTTGGAACAAGCAATGAAACTACATGAAATAGGCACTAATAGTAGTTTCTGATCCTTGAAAATTTTGAGTTGGATGAACCACCGACATTTCCTTCACCTGAATGGGAGACACTACGTTCATTGAAGACATCTCAAGTTCGATTGCATGAAGTCGAGGGATGATTGGTATGATTAACAACAAGTAACTCATTCGTGTGGTTTCATGTGCTTAACTTAGCACTACATCTCCCTTAGCCAAAAGAGGCCACAATTTATTATATCCTGCTTATGGCGAAGAACAAGCATAGGTAAAAGCTGAAAAGCCAGATAGCTGGTTGAGTGCTTCATTGGGCCATAACCCTTTAATTTGCAGAATAATAAAGTCCAGCAAATTAATGGCAAGGACCGATCTTTAGCTACAGTGGCCTACCAAACCTTTATAATATTGACTTCACTCGAACAGATATCAGAATATAAGAAACCCTATATAAGGTTGATTCGACTCCTATCTGCTGAACCTCTATTTTCATATTACCAAACAATTGACACTTCTTTTTTCTTTCAATCTAACATTCAATTCAACCAAGACCTTCAACTAAGAACTTAATCTTTTTTTTTTTTGTAAACTTGTCCTTGCTATTCTTGTCCTTGATCTCTAGAAATTCTTTTGATCATCAGAATAATTTCGTTCATCAAATATCTTCTCCAATCGTATCATCTATCTTTTTGCTACCAATGTATTAGGTTCACCATGCTTCTACTGTGCCACTCTGATTTAATATCCCCGATCAACCCTTTTTTCGCACTTAATTAATCAAAAGCAGACGAAGTAGAAGGACTAAATGTCATCGTCATCTTAGATTCCTAAAATGCATCAAAAAAAATTTCCATCAATTACTATAGTTCACTAGACCTCAATATATTTTGCAAATCAACATAT